ATGTCTATGAACTGCACGCAGCCTACGAATAGCATCTCACGCCACCTCACGGCCTCGTGTAGTTCATACCTCGACGAAATGCGGAAATCTGACTTAAATCCCATTTAATCCGTTTTCAATCTACATTATTAGTGAATATCGCCACCACATCTACAGTTTCTAAATTCATTCCTGAGTAAATTTTAGCCTGTCTGCTGCCATTTCCCTTTTCAGCCACGAAGAGATGTTATACGAATGATGGAAATAAGTTAAAATAATTATATGAATTTATGGAATTAAGTAAATTAAAAAAATTCTTAGCCCCTTTTGTGTAAAGCTTTGTAAAAAGAGCACATCAAATAATACAACGACCCTCAGTTTTTGTTGATTTGGAAATCGAATGGGGAAAGGAAGAAAGTGTTCTTCTTAAATCGAAATGCTGCCTTGATTATGACAACGTTTCAGTGAAACTTGTAAAAAGTAAGTGTACAAATTTCATTCACAGCGTTTTTTTAAAAGGCAAAGGTAAGTACTGTTGTAGAAACCACCCGTTGTCTGTTTTCGGAACTTACTAAGTGGTAAACTCTTCCATCCGCGTATAGGCACACCAACAAGGGCAGAACGGCCCCCTTCTCCCCTTTTCTCAAGTCTGAGTGTCCCGGTCGAACGAAGTTTATTGCATTTTCTATCCTAAACTTTCGGAGATTAAAGCCCAAATCCTTGAGGCCCGGCTTATTAGGATAATTTAAAAAGACAGCTCAACTTGCCCAGGCAAAAGCGTGCCCGATGAAATTGAATTTGCATGATAATAGTTTACCACAGTTGAGCGGGTCCTCACTGCCGCGGAAGGATATTGCAATGGTCGTGCGCTTTGTGTCAGCCACACGACTTAACTTTTTTTGTACACATATACGTACACACACACGCAAGACCAAGAGCTCAGATCAGTACTTTTACACGAGTGCTTGTCGGCAAACCGGAAACTCAGTTCAAAACTCCACACGATTTCGTCCGGAATTCAGCTACACCACGGCCCGAGAATTGCCTGGAATTTATTTGTGGACACCACTGCACTCATGGTTAACCAAAGGGGTGGACTGTCGTGAGAAGTGGAGGGTTAAGATGGGACGAAAACTCGGACCGGATTTTAAGATGCCCCGCTTGGATTTGATACTGGTGGCGGTCCTGGTCTTTACAGTGGTGCAGTGCACGACCGTTGTTCGAGGTAAAGTATCGTGCTGCTTCAGTGGTTGCACTGTCTTACTCTGTTGAGTTTTTGCTGGATGTTTTTCGTAAAGTTGACCTGAGCCGTACATACTAAAGTTGATTAAATCCAAGTTTGCATCAGATTTTTTAAGGGGAAATGATAAACTTGGAGGTTTCACGAGGTAAACAGTTCTCCCGAGCAACAAGTTTGGGACCTGTTGAACATCACGTCCAGAACTAGTAGTACACGTATAATGCACGAGGTACCGCAAATACATGTGCACATGCATTGACAGTTGATAGGCAAGACTCAGTCAGACGTACACTGTACATGTAATGTACATAACTGTGCACATTGCTGCGGCCATAGTTTAGATGCACATGCCTTTTTCTAAACCATTTGTTAAGGGAGTAGTGGTAAAGGTGTAAGGCTGGTTTGAAAAAAATCCATGGCCTGGGAATACCTCAATATTTTCCCTGCTGAATTGACTTTTTAGGACATTTCGTTGCTTTCAGATGGCAAGTACTACATGCAGTAGTGGTAGGAAACTGCAGGGAAAATTTGTTGCTTCTGTGTATATATATGAATTCTTTTTGGAATAGGTTCGATAAATGTATCATGCTGCTGGCAGTTGTCTGGGTAACTGTTGGTTATAAACTGTATTAAAATGATTCATTCTTCCACACATTCAAAGATGCAGATATTGCTGTCCCTAGAGTTCATATTCCCCACATATTTTGCAGTGGAGTGACAGTCATGACATTCATAGAGCAGTCTGCAGCTGCACCCCTGTGGATTTCAATGAAAATAAAGAAGTCAGCCCAATTAAGCCTGACAAAGTAATGTCACAAGCATTTAAATGTGCAATAACTATACCAAGTGGTTCAAGTAATAACAGCACCTACATGTAGTTGTTTTGGGACAATTTTTTTAAGGATGGTTGAAAAATAAGCATCATTTGTGGTCTGCTGACACTTATGCTTCCACTACCAGTCGAAAAGCCCACTACATGCAGAATATCAGTTGCTAGGCATTTTGTATGGAACAGTAGCAGTCTGTAGGATAACAATGTATTACTTTGTATTTACTGTGTAACTGCTTCTATTACATTGTATGAAATAAGATCCCGGATTGTTTTCCCTTTGGAATGAACTTTTTCAGTTTTCTTTGGCCTCACTGATCTGGTAGACATTGTGCAGGCAGAATTTCAAGTTTCATTTTTACTATTTGCATCCCCTGTATGCATTTAGACTTACTCTGAGGAGTGTCATTGAACTGTGCTATCATTAGTGTGATTTGTGCGTCCTGGGTCAATGCACCATTGTTACTTCAAAGATAGGACTCTCGCTTTCTTTTTACTCATTCTTCAAACATCTAATTGCAGTGTTTTTTTGTTGATTGGCGCAGATAATTTCATGAAAACTTGCTTATGTGTATATGGGATAGGTGCAGTGTGGTTTACAATTATGGGATGTACGTGTACATGTATGTTGCAAAATTTCAAGTTCGGCTTGTTCGTTTCATGCATCTGGCATTGGTGATAGGGCAGTACTGTTGCACATTTTTGTATGGCCGTTTTCTTTTTGCTTTATCAGCCGGTTATTAAGGAGTGGGTGAGGATTTTCTTGAAAGGGCTGAACTCTATTATGGTTGGGTTCAGTTGATTCAGTAGGCCTACCTTTCTTGACATTTGAAAGGCTTGTGGAAACTTGGAAATGCTATTAGTTTGCACAGTTGATTGTCCTGGAGTTGGCAAGACATTTTTAACCAGAATGTGTATAAAACCGTGGAGGAAGCTGTGGTTGCACCATGCAAGAGAAATGCAACACGATGGATATGGGATGGAAATGGCCAAATAATCACCATTGATACTGATGTTTGGAATGAAACCAGTCAAGCATCAACAGGAAAGCCATGGTTGATCCCATATTGTATAGCATGTTACATGCTAGTCTACATTCAACCAGCACCCTAACCTCAGGATATGGGAGTTGAATTCCACAGCCGATTGGCATTCCAGGAAATCATGGGAGCAGCCTTATCACAGTGGGATGTGTTAATTAGTGCATTTTCAAGGGCTCCTTAGTTCTGAATCTGCCATGACCCTGGAGCCTTTTCAATTACTTCCTGATGAATTAAATCTACAGGCATGCCAAGTTAGCAAAGTTGATTCTTCTAAACTTGATATCAGATTCAGTACAAACAAGCTAGGAGAGCCTTGTTAAGTGCAAGTGGGGAAGGGCCTATCTTAGGGATTTGCATTTTTGAAAAGTCACACTTGATTCATGAATGTTTTGGTTAGCTTTGTGGAAATTGTAAGCCATGCACAGAATTGGAAAATAAAATTGTCAAGTTATAGTTCCACATGTGTTCAACTTCCTTAGTTTCCCGTAAAATTTGAGTTAAACTGGAAAATTGAAACTGACATGACCTATTTCTAATAGATTTGAAACCATAACCACTGCTGTCATTGAGTTAATAATTGTAGATACTTTGTCAAATTGTGCTTGTAGAAAAATACCGGTAGTGCGGTAAACTTTGTAACGTGTCTGTGCGTTTCCCCTTTTTATAACGACACAGTAATAAACATATTGGTGGGTGAGGTACCTTTGAAATTTTCTTGCCAGAGTGCAGTGTTTGTGTTACTCTTCTACAAAAACATAGTCATCCTGTGCCCATTGTTGACCAAAACTTGTGCCAGCCTGGCCGTGTTTTTGTAATCAAATTAGACAGGCAATGATGTTGCTCTGCCCTTGATCTGCTAACCATACAGCTACAGGTCCATATTGCTGAATTGTTCTGCCCCAGGTGGACCTTGGTGAGCTATTTCAGAGGAACAGTGGAATACTTGATTGACGTTGGAAATGACGAAGGACACTTAACAATTTTTTGTGGGCAATTGTAATAACAGCTTCTTTTGTTATTAAAGAATGCAAAAATTACAATGGAGCCACAGATGCAGTCCTTGAAATTTAGTAACCGATTCACAGTACGTGGACTGTTCTTGACTTAACCTTCATAGGTGAAGTTGTGTCATGAATGATGTGGGCATTTTGATTGTCATCATCCATTTGCCGCCGTGCTAAAGAGGTGTGTAACAGTTAATTTTAATTTTTGGATTTTGAACTCTCCAGTCATAAGATTGGGCATCCTGAGACTTAACCTGAAATTTCTCTTTTAAGTGATTTTGTATGTGTGATGAGTTTTTGTGGAAGAGGGAACATATACATTGCAACTGTTAAAGTGGAAAAAAAATTGGGAAGTATAATGGGCTGTCAGTTCAGTGAAACTGTTGTCAGAAAACCTTGTCTCCCAGAGTTTCTCTTTAAGCTTGCATGTGGATGCAGAATGCTGTGACAGAGATGCCAAGATCTTCACATTCCTTCATATAATTAAAGTGAAAGGGGAGAATGTGTGGTATACAGCGCAGCCCATGCATCCAGTGAGGACAGGTCATTGCTGTGCCAAGTTCTCCCATTGAAAACTGATGATGGGCAAACAAGGAGGGAAGAATGCGCTTTGTTATGGCTGCATGAAAGGGGAGAAGTTTATTTTTAAAAAAGAAAGTTGGTCCAGCCGTGTTTTGTGCTCACAAATCTCTGACAATAAATTCATTGCTGGCTGATTTGGCATCTTTCGTAATGTGGGAGGAGTAACGCCGTGAATTGCATTTGATTACTTTCAGATTGCAGGAAAGAGTCTGTTTTTCTAAAGTTGTTGATGCAAAACAAGCACTGAAATTCGGAAGGCCCGATGGTGTTTATTTCCACTTGCTCTGTTGTTCTGTGATTAATTTTTCCTTTGTCCGAATGTGGCCCTGTCAAAACAGATACGGTGCTAAAAAACAATAAATGAAGGTGTGAGATTCTTTAGAACTGTTTTATCGACATTACTTTTGCCACTGTCATCTTTACAGATGTTGCGATTTTAAAGTTTCGCACATTTGTTTCCCAGGCGCAAATAGTTGACTGACATGTGATGTGTTTCAGTGGACTAAATGCTTAATACCTGTGGAGGTGTTAGACATGTGATGATGGTGAAAAACACGTGTCAACCTCACGCTTGCCACCTCTTCTGCTAACCAAATTTCATGCAAAGTGTTTGCGTTCGAAGTTCACGGAGGCACTGTTTGTCCTTTGGTCGTCAAATCTCGTTATCTGATTACAGAGTGTGTGAGAGGCAAGAAAAACTGCCCCATCGGATGTTCATGTACATGTATGCGATTGTGTGTCGGGGGGGGGTAATTATTTGGGTGGTCTGCAAGACATTCTGTCATTTTCAAAGGTTTGTCCAAAAATACTGCTAAAAACTGCAGTTCCAGCCCTAGGTTTTATGTGCTATTTATACAGTTGTAGGAACACATCCTTACTTTGTTTACACAGTTGTCTTTTGCCAAATTGTGGAAGTGTACAGTAGCAGTTGTTCCCATGTTCATCCTGTGCTTCATATGTGTGTTGAAATATACAGGTCACAGTAAAGTCATGAGTATTTCAAAGGATGCATGTGAGCAATGAACAGATTTGAGATGGTTGAATTTTATAAAACTGTATCACTTGAAATGAAACCCTTCACCACCCATTCTGACTTACAAGAAATCATCGGCTTGGGGAAAAGTAACCCCTGAGAGTGTGATTTTCAGACCAACTGTAGAGGACAATTTTGGCCAGAGGCACATGCCGAGGTGTTTGGTGCAGAAGGGCTTGAGTGTTATGATTTGCACCTGTACATGTACGTAAGCTTTTTGGCATGTGATGCATGTGGGAGAGATGTGATTGCATGCCTCGGAATCGGGACAGCACTGATCATTCCTCTAGGCTCTATGGTTATTCCTCTGTGGTTGGTAGAGTGTTATAATGATGGTAGGAACAGCACAGTCTGAAGTGGGACTCGTGAAGACACGCTGCAAGTTTGAATTGAAGAGTGGGATGAACAAGCAGGTGCTCCTCAGAGTACATGGTTTCCTTTCATCACTAAAAATGTTTGGAACAAACGACTGTACGTGTTGCCATATATCACTTTAGTGGTTTCCTTTCATCACTAAAAATGTTTGGAACAAACGACTGTACGTGTTGCCATATATCACTTTAAAAAAAAAGAAGAAAGCTTAAACTTCAGACTTTCGGAAGTGAGCCTTATCACTGTGGTGGGATGTTTACTGCAGGGATGTGTGCCATGCACGGGCCAGATTGGCAAAGTGTATTTATTTACCCCCATTGTTGGTGGCAGGAATGGGTATTCGAATAGTAGATTACCAGCCTGACTCGTGTGCCTATCAGTGTAGACATTGTGATAAACCCAGACTGATAGTGGTGGAGGGTCACTCACAGGCAGAAATATTTCACCCAGTGCAGATGTTCTGGAGATACATGTACATTACATGTATGTACTGTACCCAGAATGCCCCTCCTCCACAATGGGGGAGGGATGGCAGTCAGACTGATTATTACTGTGTGTACCCAGCTGAGTGTGATTATAAATCGATTTGGCGATGTACATGTACTTCAAGTCATATCATTGGGCTCTTTTTGTGCCAGCTGATGGATAAATCAGTTGACACAAAGATTATTTCATGGAGAATTTGTCCCTGGCGTGGGATTATTTTTGGCCAAAAATGTTAACTTTTTAAGTGCGACTGAATACCCGGCTGGCAGGCCAGAGTCTGTTACTGAGTTGGACTTTATGATAACCCTTGCAAATCGCTTCTTGCCACAATGTTGCCTTTTTTTTACACACTTATGTAAGACCAAGTTGCCGAGTAAAATTATTCTGCCACAGTGTCTGGCTGTGGCGTACAGCCGCTTGAGGGCTCCACACATGCTCAGCTTTTATGATCAAGTCCTGTACAAAAGTAATGGGAATCAAAACGTGGAAGAGTATACATGTACATGTCATGAAGCACTGCATAAAGAAATTGCCTGGGCTGTCACAGATAATGGTTACAGGTTGACAGGTCCTCCAGTGTGAACACATTTAAAGCTGTGTTCCCTTTGGACTTTTTGGTTAACTTGCCATGACTTAACTAAATCCAGTGGGAACATGTGGTAAACTAATGTCCCTGTCAACTTACCATGATCACAGAGGTAAAACTAACATGTGGAAAAGGGTCATGGAAGATTTCTGCACAGCCATGGTAAGTTAGCAGGGGCACAAAAAAGTTCAATGGGAACAGTTCCCATACAATGTAGAGTGACCGCGACCATGCTGAACATAAAAACCAGACTACTGCCTACACAGAGATCGATAGTAGACATGCGAAAATGGTTGTGGTTCCCAGTCTCCAGCTCTGTGCGTACAGTACAGCAGAATGCTGCGCACACACACAGTGAAGTGTGCCCGGATAAAGCTACATGTATACACACCTTGTGTACGGGGCTTTTCCTGTAGGGGTTCATCGTCTTTGTGGCAGAGTTTGCTGATTTTGTCATGATTTGCAGGCCTTGCGCTAACTTTTTTTCTTTGGATCAGTGGATATTTTACCAGCCTGTTTGGAGTTTTACTAGCCCGTATATAAAGAAATGTTAAAAACCTGAAGTTTGTTATCAGCTTACCAATGCAGAATTTGACATTTTGGAAAATAAAAGGCTCATGGTATAAATAAATAAAGAGGCATGTCTGTTAGTTAAAAGTCGCTGGAGTCATTGGTCACAGAGCCGGGATCAAAATCATATCTTTGCTCTATCTTTCCTCTCATTTGGGTTGCTTACGTTTGCTTACTTTCTGACCTCCGCACGTGCGTGGTGAATGAGAGAAGCATTTTTCCAATCAGAAGAGGGTGCTGTTTGCACACGTCTTTGTGTATACTTCGTATCAAATGCTTTCAAGGACTTTTGCAATGCCCAGTATAGCTAGCCGTGGTCAGTTAAGGTCAGACAAATTGATGAGGCCCCCCTCCCTCAAAAAAATACTTCTGTTTTCGGTTTCCCGACCGACCCTTACTTTTTGCCCCCTTCCGATACTATTTTTTGAGGCATGTAGTTGGAAGCAGAAGTGGCCTAAAAAGTGGAACGACGCGCCGTACCATGAGCTACGCTATACCAGTACTACAACCCACCTGTCTACTCTGTTCATGGCATTCATGGTCGCTTATCACCCTGTCGCGCGCGAGCATCACGTTTCAAAAACACATCCACAACAACTCAGTTTTTGCGATCTTGTATTTATTATCACAACAAGCATTATATATTTTGATCTAAGTTTTAACAGGTAGGCTTATTCTGAATTTTTCCCTAGCCCACTGCGCAACCAAGGAACCAAGTTTAGGTAGTCCGGAGCATTTTTCGCTAGAATTTGTACGCCGGGCTAGTACTATTTCGAGGCCTGATTTGTACAGCGTAGGCAATGTAATCAGCTGGTCCTATTAGGCCTAACACAGCGAATAAACATTCCGTTACAGTTAAAAAAAATCCACGTGGGAATGTGCGATAGATTGACACGAAGGAATGTCACGGCAAATTTCCACACGCCCATGGAAGAAAAAGTCCAATGGGAACACGGCTTAAGTTATCCAATAGCTGCTGACTGACAAACAGCACTAGTTTCCCTCACATAAGTCTCTGTTACTTTACCTTGGGAGTGGCTTTGTCAGGACTCCAGTCCAGAGGTGTCGGGAACAAAATCCAGGCTCAGTCAATTTGCTCTGATCCAAACCAGTTGTTTGCCCAATATCCCCCAAATCGGCTGATTTATTAATCTTTTTCAGAGCTGCAGTTTTGGTCACCAACTTGAACTTTCATAACTTTTTTTTTCTTCTTTGCAGCTTCCTGTGGACCCGACACCTGCCTCAATGGTGGTGCATGCGTGACCATCCCCGGCAGTGTATCTCAGTGCCAGTAAGTACGCCTGTCTGTCAAACTTTAAAAAATTACAGAAGTAACACCGTGGGCTGGGCTTTGTCTTCTTTGGTCTTTCAGAGTCATCTCAAACTCTGAAGGGGGCTTTGAAGTACCTCTAAGTTGGGGGTTAATAAACAGGGCTTTGCCCTTCACCGAGAGGTGATGTTGTTGATACTGTAGTACGTATCTGCTCACTCAGTGCTTTCTGAGAGCCTTGGAAAAACTTGTGCAGATCTTTGGCAGTTTAATTTGAATCTGCACGTTTGGTTACAGTTGTATTTCTTCAAGTGCACCCACAACGCAACATTCTCTTGGCTCCAGGAAGACAGTAGTGCTGAAGCTGCAGACACAGCACACAGTTAATTATAATGATAATAATCCCCACCCCTACTAGACCCTTTCATGTTGGCGAATCTTGCTAGATGTAGCTAGTTGCCTGTCAGGGTATTACCTTGCATGAGGTGGCTCTTATATCTCTTGAAGGTTGAAACACACTAAATGCCATTGGGTTCCCATGCTGTGGTGAATATTGCAGGATTCAGGAAAGGTCTTAGTAAACATCACAAACAACTAGAGCACAGACGTATTAAAATGAGGTACATTTTGTAGGGGGGGGCACTTGGAGGGACTTATATTTTGGCAAGAGCATTCAGTGGATTTGGTCACAGTTAAAACACTGACCAAGGTGGACTACCGCCAGATTTTTCCCAGATTTTTCCACTCCTCTAATTTCTGAGGGGGGGGGGTGAGGGAGGAGGGGGGGAAGGGAGAAGGCTGTGCTGTCAATGCCTCTCCTAAGTTGTGCCACTGGACACGAGTTAAATGAGTCACACATTGATATTATGTTCAGACTGCCCCATTACTCATGCTAAAATATCCCGTAACAAAAACCCTCGAGGAATTAGTTTATATTGGCAAGTATTTTGTGCCTTATTTGTTTGGGATGTAATACTAGTACATGCACTTGGTGAGAGACAGGTGCAGCACCATTTCCCATTTCATGCACTGATATAATTATGAGGCTGCACTAATGATTTCAGCGCTCACTCATCACATGAAGACAGGGAACTTTGAAATGAGTGAAAGGTGTTGAATCACATATTGATTGGGACGAGACATTTTAGGTCTAGTTTGACTTCCTCAACTCGCGCATTTGATTGAAACGGATCTGGCAGTTCTGGAGATAATTATTGGGTGCTGGTGCTAGGCTTGTTAAACGATACAGCAACAGCTAATCCACCTGACTGTGGTTTACTCAAAAGTAAGTTGGAATGCGTTGTTTGACCCTCCGACTTCAAATCTCTAATTACCCAGTTTGATATTTCCTTTTTTTTTTTTTTAAAAAGATGGTCTATATTTCCTCTCTTTTTCAAGTGTAAGGAGCGTTTGTGTGCTTGAATTTGCTTACATGAATATTTGTGTTGTGTTACATTTCATCATGTATTCAAAATTGTTACAGGAAATTCTCTTTTGTGTTATGCACTCTACTGTTACATATTATCAATGCTACTCATCAGTCAGTAGTTTCTGCTCTTACATGCTTTGACCTGACCTTGCATAAATTAGTTTGATAGTGTATCTTTACCTGGGCTTTTAATGGGTTTGACCCAGTGTTTGACATGCTTTACAGGCATGTCTGCAGTGATAAAGAACAGTCAAACTGAATCCCAAGTTTCAGGGTGTAGCTGCCAACCTTGTGTCAGATGGGACCAGCCAGTGGATTGAACTCGAGGTTTGACCTTTCCTGATGCAGTTGTAGTCTGCCGTTACCCACTGGAGTACCTTGTGGTTGGTCCATATTATTTGAGTAACCTTGCTAGCAGATTTTTTGTTGAACAAATGCTTGGATTTACCTGTGCAGCAGGTAGAGTCTCAAGGCCATACAATCCTCAAAGAAAATTGTTATAGCAGTTCAGTGTTGCATGCAGCATAAAGAGTTTTTAATATCCTTGCAGCCAAACTCATACCGTTTTTTTGTTATGTGACCCTTGAAGCGCAGACTTGCATGTACAGTGGGTCTGATTTGTCACACAATGGGGTGCTTACCTCCCTCCCTTTTCACCATGGGAGCCCCCCTTGGGCCAATTAAATAACCTCTCACAAAAGTGGCGCATTCAGGCGAGTTCACTGCAAATTTGCCCAGCAACAGGCACCTTTATCCAACTCTTCAAGCCTTTATTTTGTGAAGGACAATTTTTTTTCTTCAGTCTGCCTATAAATTGTATTGGTTGATTGTTTTGAAAGACCGCTGGTGATTGGTCAACTTGACTGCCCTCCACGATGGGTGAGGCATTTTAATTGCCAGCAGTTGGTGATGAAAGCAGTTGTGGCTGATTTTACATGTTGAAATGTCAAGCCAACAGGTTGAAACCTTTTGTCTGCAAAATGATGTTCACAAATTTGAATGAAGCAACACGAACACTACATGTAGTTCACATCATATTTATTCTTCTTAATATATTTTTGCCAGGATTCTTCTTTACACCAAATCTATCCCTATTCTTTTCCGTTGTACAGTCCTGGCTTTTCAACTCCCAGGGGGGCCATCAAGTATTATGCACAAAGTGGTAGAGGCCAGGCTGTTTTTTCTAACTTGCAAAACCTTCAAATTTTCTAAAGTTCCTTGTGGGTTTTAATTGTTACTCCTGTGTGTTGGAAAACTTTCCTTCAATACTTCTGAGTGTGCCTGTATTTCGATGAAAGTGTCAGAGATTTGTGGCAAAGTGTTACTGTGCAGTGGAACGTAGGCCAAATGCATTTCCCATGAATTTTAACCAGATTGCATTTTTTAAATACAGCCATGCCCTTGTGGCCAATCAGTTGTTTGTCAATGATAGGCACATCCTCAAAAAAACATCCTTGTTTTTGTTCCTGGGCTAAATGCCCACAATGTACCATTTATCCTGTCTAATGCGCTTGTTGTAGTGGAATAAGGCCACTGAGTCCATTCTGATTGCTGACGCCGCAGCAGATGGAGTGGTCACATTGTTGGAGGTCAGGAAAGCCCAGCAGTTGTACTAGAAACAGCTTGCACCTTGGGTTATGCTGATCGTGGAGTTTTAAGGATACCAACTCTGGGTCATTGGACTCGTGCTGAGCTCAAATTAGATTTTGGGGTATGCTTTAAAGGAAATACCTTTTTTGATGTTTTAAATTTTTTTTAAGAACAAGGTTACAAATTTTCATGGGCTAACCATTCGATTTAGAAAAGAAATTGTCCGATTCAGGTAAAAAGCTAATGTCTTTATTATTCTTACAGCTTGGTTTCCAGGACACAGGTATGAAAGATTACTGTTGGGAATTCAGGTACCGGTATATGTACATGTAGCTTTCAACCTGTGGCAATAATTGTCAAGTTCCTAGAGTATGTGTTATAGAGATTATTGAAGTCATAGAACTTGGTGTTGCAGGCACCAGACTACATTGTATATTAGCCCTTTGTACTGTACATGTACAGTACATGTAGGTGATACACTCTGTCTAATCAAAGGCCTTGCTGTGTGTGGCTGTGGCTATGCCCAGTGATCAAACAGCAGAAAGTGAAGCCACAGCTATAAAATCTCCTACTCTGACATACAGTGTTTGCGTGATAGGATTCTTGGGGGGTCATAGGACTTGGAAGGCCTTCCCTGTACCCTTTAAGTTGAAGTCTGAAGACCCAGCGTGATGCCAGTGAAACATACCAGTCTGTATGGAAGTGAGTCAAGTTGCCCACCAACTGTTTAAGGCTGTATATTAAAAGGGAAACATGGCAAAGTTTATTTAAGTGCTGAGCACCTGGTTGCTCTGCTTAGAGAGTCATTTGCTAAGCCAAAGGAAATGAATTTTCCTTGAATTTCAGTGTGTGTAAATCCCAATGACTGCATTTTCGAATTGGCATAGAAGTCTAAGTCTGTATGGCAGACTTCACTGCAGGAATTTTGTCAAAGTGTTCCAGCCACGAAACAACTTATTCATTCGTTGTCAGTCTTTAGCACACATCCATTGTAGTCCGTGCTTAATGTTGTTTTAAATATCTTTCGTGATTGTAATATTTACTTTCAAAATGAAACCACTCGGTTGTGGTTAAACTGGAAGTGCACTTGCTTTAGTAAATGTCTTTCAGACATCATTGTTGTTATATCCTTGGTCACTGAAGCCATTTTTTCTGCAATTTTTCCACCACCACCTCTTTTTGTAGATTCAGTTTTGACAGGGCTGTTGCTTTTTGTATCATTATTGTGGTCCTTCCTTACTTGGTTCTACCCATCATTCGGTTTTCTTAGTTGCAGTATAAACTTGTTGAAGTATAAACTAAGATAATAACAGTGACTAGATAAGAAAAATCCCAGTAGAAGTTTTTACTGGAAGTTGCTGATCTATTTTGTAGCATTTGCCTCTCCCAACAAACTAACAAAAACCCTGGTGAGATCTTATTATCAGATCTTTCTCACACAACATCAGCCACAACTGTTTGAAAAACACTGAAGTCCTACTGGTAACACAGATTGAAACAAACAGGTTTCTCTGCCCAGTCATGTGAAAGAGATGTCCAGTTGATCCGAGCAACCAAGTGCAACCAACCCGGAATATGCATTGTTGGCAACCTCTGGTGGTGGTTCAGTTTTAGGCGTGGTGACCTATTGCCATGATTTTCTTCGCCCAGCTGAGCTGTAAAAACACCCTGCATCCGGGCATACCGGACAACATTGTCACAGGACTTCCTTAATTGTCTCCCTGAATGGATTGTATTTTTGTTTGCATCATTCTTTATTTGTTGACCTCAGACCTCAATGTTGTTGCACTTTGTATGTAAACATACCAGTTATGTAATTAAGACTACTTGAAATTTCACTATAATGTTATTACCAATTTTATTTAGGATAAGGGCATGCCATGTCTACCCTAAGAAAAACACAACTGTTAAGGAGCATGATGACTTTGCTTTACATATTTTTATACTTTCTGCCACTTTGTGAAAACAAGCACATGAAAAAATTGGTGAAATTGTGTTGAGC